TTACTTTTTTGCATCCAGATTGTGTTTTTCTCTTGATAACAAGTTTTGTCGTGAAATTTTATCAGTAACAGATGCATTTTCCAGCCCTGAAAAGATTTACTGGGAAACGTGACTTCAGGTTATTTAGCACAAATAAAGAGTTTGGTCAAATATTTTTATTTTTTTACATTTTGATATAGAGTTCTATAGAACTGTTATAAAAAAAAAGTAATATTTAGCCACTAGCTTGTAAGCTAACGGTTAATCCAAGCACCTTTAAAGCAATATTTGCCAAAAAAAAACTCCAATTCAAAAAAAAAAACAAGTGTGCTTGTATATTTATGAATTTCTAAACCTTCACATAACCATCAATTTCATATTACAGTTATGTCCCAAAGAAGTATAATAATCTTGCAGGAAGTGCTCCAGGCTAAAACAAATGTGCAACAGCTAGCTGCTATTGGCATCTTTTTGTGTAAATAACTGGCCAATATAAAACAGTGTAAAGGTTTATAAAATAAAGTTTACATAAATAAATAGGACACTTTGTAAATTGGAGCCATTTTAAAATGGCAAAAATTCAGTTTGGTCTTCGCTTCGCTTGGATTAGCCGTTAGCGTCCAGGTTCCGTTAGACTTAGTTTGAATTTTACAAACCGAGGTTGGTCAAAGAGCTATTTGAAACAAGACATAACTTAATTACCTTTCAGCTAAACCTGACGTCAAAAGATCTGAACTACCGCTTTAAGTTTAGAAATGCATGTCAAATAATAAAAAGAGCAACAACAACAACAACAATAAAAAAGTCAATTTGCATCCACCTCTTGTGGGTCTCAAAGTGCTTACTTTGAATTTAATCAAATTTGACGCTGAATTGCTTCAAGAATGCAGCCAAGTACAAATCAGAAAAAAAAATCTAAACACCTTCAATGTAAGCAGCTAATTACTGCTAGCTAATGTAAACCAGACGAAATGCTTTTTAGCCGACCAATTACCGGTAAAAACGCAGTGCACGTGTCGGACGCACTAACAGCTCGGTGGATGTGTCTGTAATGAGCTCCTCAATTTGACCTGCAGTTTTATCAAGTCCAGCCAAGCTTTGAACACAGAAGGTGGCTGCTAACATGCTAGACCATGACCACATTTGTACAATAAGTTCAGCCTTATTAAAAATAAACGCAGTGAAAACATGGTTAGGAACGGACCGAAAACTAGAACACAGCAAAACAATACAAAACCCGTTGTAAGCCAAGCTGTTTGCCTTATTCATTAGGATTTAACTTTACTTTTTTGTGTCAACGTTGAAGTCAGGTCACCTTTCAGTGCAGGAAATATGCAAAATATACATAAAGTACCGTATTAAGCTGCCAAGATCGTTTTCATCTGAAATTTCTGATTTGGTGTCCTATTGTTGTCTGCCTCAATATTATACTAATACACATAGTTCCTTTTGATTGGTGTATATATATATATATATATATATATATATATATATATATATATATATATCACCTAATCAAAGCTACAAGTCAATGGAAATATAAAGATGTATGTTTAAGATTGTTGTCATGCTTTTCTGTCACACTGTCTTACAGTAAAAGAAAATATAATAAAAATAGTGCATTTTCCGTTGTAAAACTCTGATACCGTTTGTTTAACTGGTACCGAGAGGGGCAAATAAATCTAACATTGAACAATCTGGTTTATTTTGTTTTATAAATTTTGGCCACAGTAAATCTGTTTAATTCTATTTCATACAAAATTACTTCAGTAGCAACGTATTACATAAATTTAAGTGCTGCAGTGTTACTTCACCCAAAATTCAGTTTTTAAATGTTATATTCACATTTATTTCACTCGGCACAGACAACCGTTCATCCAACTCCCACATTTACGACAAAAATAGAAGACATCGGCGTTAATTGGAAACTCGTTGGATGTAAAACAGCTCGCACAAGTCGTCCTTTTTCACGTGATTGGCACATATAAACACACGTTATACAAACATACATATAAAGCTGTATCAAAGCTATAAGTGCGATTAAAAAAAAAGTTTTTCAAAAAAGCACACTTAAATTAAACACTCACAAAAATCAAAACAAACGTAGGGAACGTGTGTTTTTCGATGCGTTTTTGACCACTGGGCTCTTTTTGCTCAAACATTTCGTCTGAGAGCAGCTGCTGTTGATTAAACACTGGGCAGACATGAAGGGAAAGGACACGAGATGAAACCACTTTGCCAAAAAGCCGTTCGGAAGAGAAAGATGGTTCTACAGAGAGAGGAACAGTAGCTACATTTCCATTCAACGGTCAGAAATGCTACATTAAATTCTGAGTCACTCAAAAACAAACTGGATCACATCCACTTTTAACTTAAAATGGTTTAAAGAATCAGCAAGAAACAAAATAAAATGGCAATGTCTTTTAAACGATGTTAGGACTGGGGTGTAGGACTTCGTTTCTAAAAACAGGCAAGGGAAGGTATATAAATACCAATCTAAAATGTGTTTAATTAAAAAAAAATAGGTTCCACTGGACTTGGTTCTGAATATATTCAAAGCTCAAGTGTATTTAAGTAGCTAAAAGCTATCAGACTGATGGTTTGTAGCCTGTTCAAGTTGCCTCCTTCATGCTATGCTCGCCACAACCTACACGGGGCGAGATCACGGGAAGTTTGGAAAGCCTCCTTAGATAAAGAAGCTACCGTGATACCGCTAGGCTCTTAGTACCCAAATGTTCTCCTGAAATTTACCCCAAACATTCTCACAATGTCAGGATACTGCTACATGTTAGAAGCTCAATGCTACAACCACACGTCACTTTTATGGGCGGCTGTGGCTGAGTGGTTGGAGCAGTCGTCCTCCAATGCGAGAGTTGGGGTTTCGACTCCACCAGTCGCTGGACAAGACACTGAACCCCTCATTGCCTCCGATGTGTATCCCACCGGTGCATGAATGTGATAAAGCTCTGATTATTCTTTGTACAGATGTAGTAGAGTGATGTATAAATGGGTAAATGAGGGCACAGATTGTAGTGTAAAGCACTTTGAGTACCTTGATAAGATAGAAAAGTGCTATACAAGTACAGTCCATTTACCATTTTTGTGCCACGTTGTTTCCAAGATCTTTTAACAATTGCGACTGTAACTTGTAACAGTGCTGCTTTAAATTTCTGACAACTTCATGGCTACACTACTGCCTCCATACTCCACCGCACACCACCCAGGACCCTGACACGCTGCCGCCATAATAATCTGCTCCATTAAACAAAAAGTTGTATCCATGTTCAAAGGAATCATAAACATAAGACGCTCTATCACTATCTATTGTAGTGGGGTTGTCATCCAGTGTGAAATGGGCCTAACTGGTAATTTTACTTTGTTTTTTAAAGGGAAAACTATTCTTACCAAGTTTCTTGACAGTTTGTATATGGGGTTGTATTAAAAACCTCTCTGGGTTAAATCCATGTGAAAGTTCTCCATCTTGTGGTAGTATTTACAATTTGGTAGTTGTCTTCAGGGTTTCTCAGATGCGGTTGTCCTAATCAAAAGTTAACTTTATTCCGGCGGCAAAACTGGTACATTGGTGACGAAAGATTAGCAGCAAGGCTAAAACTCCAAGAAATTGTTTTGGATAAGTATGTGCACTGAGATTATTTTGGATGCAATGCATAATGCAACCCAATACGTATCGTAAACACTAGATCTGTATTCTGAGAGTACAGGAAAATTAGTTACTTCATAATACAACCATGTCCTTGTATATACAGAGAAGTACTAGGTACAAGATAAGTGCTCTGTAAGTATAGGGTAACAGGTACCTTTATTATACAATCTGGTCCTTGTAGGTACCGGTTACGTATTTGATAAATAACTGGTAGGAACTAAATAGGTACTAGGTATGGACAAGGTAAATAGTAGAGATATACTCTGGATAAACAGAGTAAAAAGTCCCCTAAGAACGAAGCCCAGTCCCTGTAGGTACCCGATACATACCAGGGAAGTACTACTACGTATGCACCTGGTAAGTAGCAGGTACCAGATAAAGCATTTGATACTTGTACTAAGTACGTACCAGGTAAGTAAGTACATACTTGGCACAAGAGTAAAAAGCCAATTCATAATGCAGTCCAGTCCCCTGTATATAAAAAAAACAAATATATATATTTTAACCATAATCTGCTGAAGTTAAGTTGGATGGAAACACAGCTACTGAGAGTGTGAGAAAGAAAGAGCAATGAAGACACGATGGAGCAAAGTGACAAATGAGCACACTCACGTCCGGCAGACAAACATATGGATGGAAGAGGTAGTGCAGAGCCACCATTTGCGTGCACTTGACCGAGGCTACACTCATGCAAAAAGGTTAATACAAACACCAGAATACAGTGCAGTACGGTACAGCACGGTACAGTACGGTACGGTACAGAAGGGCTACCAGGGCCTTCACTGCTGCTACCTGATACAAACGCCAGGAGAAAGAAAGAGTATTACAACTGTCGTAATGAAACTATGTATATAAAAGTATCAACAGTAAAAATCCTTCATAGCTTTAGCTGTAAACAGTGAGTAAGTTGGAAAGAGAAGAAAGACTGAGATTGTTTTTACAGAAGTTAATGTTCAAGTGATTCTGTTTGTCTGAAGACATTCTCTTTACAATCTTTCCATAAAAAAGTCCCTCTTTATTTTTCTCTTCTTTTTCTGATCAAAGCTTGAACCTACCAGCTGAAGCCTTTCCAGGTATCCCAGGGGGGGGAAAAATAATAAAATAAAATGTTATCTCAGACAATTACAGGAATGCTTAACAGTGGAAGTAAACAGATCCTTGCTGGACTCATCCCCCCCAAAGCGCTTCAGTCCTGGCATGACGTGCTGCTTCCTGAACACGAGAAAGACCACTGTGATCCACGACAACAAGGCATGGAGAGCGGCTTTAAGGAAATGGAAGTATTTTGCGCGTAAAGTTCTGCAAACACCTGACTGCAAGACTTTAAATACAATTTTTTTTTTTCAAAATTCATTTAAGCCTCTCTTTAAATCTGGGTTTGGATGGGCTGTCCTTGACCTGGTGGTGTGTAGGGAGGTGGCGCTGGCGAAGGCTTTATCCCGCGGGTCCGCATGTAGGAGAGGAACTGGTCAGGGATCTCAGCCAAGACATCTTTAGCGAGCCGGGCCATGCTCAAGATGTTGCTCCCAGCTCGGTCAATGTAGTCCCTGAATGGAACAAACTGAGAGGGAAGAGGAACAAGAAACGTGAGTTTAAACAGACTCTAAAGCCAACACATCACTGGGAGAGAGTCTCCAAAATGTCTCGGATCTGTCTCGAACCATTCTCAATTTAGTTTTTATGAATTCCAGAGGGCCAGAAATGCATTTTAGCACCTGTACTGAAGTTTTCCCCTGACAAACGTCTGGGGTTACAGCCCTGAATGTCCAGGTCTAAAAACTACATGGACGATTTATAAAACTCAATTAAAAAAAACACAGGTCCAAATCAGCCTGTCTTCATTTCAAGTGTTGTGAGACTGCTAAGGTGGGTACAAAACAAGCTGAGGTGGGTACAATGTGGGCAACAAAGGCTCCTAAACTTTTCAGCTTTCAATCCACAAAACAGAAGTCACAACTAGGCCTGTCACAATGATCAATTAATCGCACGATAAATGAAAATTATCAACTGCATTTTAATTTATTCGTGTCTCTCTCTTTCTACTGAAGACACCGGATGACAAAAGGCTCAACTCCGGTGCTCTTCACTGACCCCTCCCTTTCTCTTTTCTCTTTAAAATCCATTTTAACCGTCCAAAATTGAGTTTTTGGATCATTAAAAGCAGCTAGGTTGAGAAGCTAAGCTACGAGCTAAGCTAACAGGCCGACCTCGGAAAAAAACCTCCGTCTTGTCGAAGCTCCAAAATTCACAATTGAAACCCCGCCCTCGTGTAAAAACTTTTTCTCTGCAAAAAGAAGCTGACAACTTGTTTAATGATTTTTTTATTAAAAGCTTTGTGTGAAACATGCTATGCTAAAGAGCTCAAACCACACAGAGCGTCCGCCATTTTGAGAAACAAAAACAAAAAACAGAAACGAGACAGCCCATGTCAAGTCAAGGAGCCTCCCTCCCATTTTTCTTAGAGACACGCTGCTCGCTCCCTCACTATCCATCCTTCGGTTCAAACAGTCGTATACTGCCATCCAGTGGTCAAAAGAAGGTACTATACACAAAACTTAACCAGCATTTCTCCTTAAATTTGACATTACTAATTATCGTCAAATTTCAAACAATATTATCGTTTATCGCCATAATTTCTGAGACAATTAATCGTCCAGCAATAATTGTTATTGTGACAGGCTTAGTCACAGCGACTCGTCACCTCAGCTATTCCTGGTTAATACGTACAAACATTTAAAAAACTGTACACAAAGCCTCATCAACCACTTTTAATATATAACATATATAAAATACTATATTTTAATAGTTTTACGGCTACTGTGTTAATCTCTTTGTAATAACTATTAAATAAGCCATTGGAAAACATCTTCATTTTTATTTTGACTACTGTAGACCTTCTCAAGAACTCACACTTGATGTTTCATGACTTATATAAAGGGATCCCGATCCCTAGTTTGGGAACCCCTGGTCTAGGATGTAGTTTTTGTAAACCACACACACAAAGATGGTTGTGCTCAACAGTGGCACGTTGTTCATAAGCCCTATGAATTCAGTGACGTTGCGACTGACGATATGTCCGTTTTCTCAAAATTTTCTTGCAACGCGGAGCCGCCAACAAGTCTCCAACAATCGCAGCTCAACGAGACGACACCCATGTGGCATAACAGCAGTTTTCTTCGTCTGAAACCAGTTTTACAAAAATGACCAGGCCGTGTATCACCCGTACAAACTGCAGCAGGACTGTTGAGACTGCTTTTAGCCGAATCTATCAAAGCGTACTTAATGTAAAAATATGTCCAGTTACCATGGTGATGTTAAAGTATTTTATCGCTCGGACTAGAAACTGACCAAAACCTTGCCTCAAATGTTTTGCCGTTTTCAAAAACCTAACTAAACGATGAAGCCAGTCATTCCTATAAACCTTACTGCAACATTTTTGTTACTGTATTTTATTTTTTTTTTGGACTATAAGGTGCACTTAAAATGCTTTAATTTTCTCAAAAATCAACAGTGAGCCTTATAATCCGAAAAAAACGGTACTATGATAAAAATGTGAACACAGACAAACAGAAAACAAGGAGGTTTAAGTTTTCTGTAAATACCCCGCTCTTGTTTTCTACTGGAACCCAACGAGTGTTGGTAATTGAACGGTGATGTAATTCGAAGAGTGAGTCCGTTAATTTTTTTATTTTTAAGCTTTTCAGAGTTAGTGCAGAGTGACACATCCTGGTGAGTGGAGGGAGTGATTTTAATTATAACCAGGCGCAAGGGGGTGGCCAATGGTGGCCTTGGCCACTATACATTTATTTTTCGGCCACCCCAATCATTTGAGGAGACTACTTTTAAGTAATATAAAAACGTGAAAGCATATATTCCTCAAATGACATTGGTGACCGGTTTACATATGTACGAGGTGGTGGCCATCTTGGATTTTGATGTGGAAACCCAATTTTGATAGTGACCTTTCTTATGCCTAGATGCAGCCACACACCAACATGGAAGTCAGTACCGTAATTTCTGGACTATAAGCCACTACTTTTTTCACAGGTTTTGTCTCCAGCAGCTTATACAATGCTGCAGCTTATTTATGGATTTATTTGGAGGGGGGTGCGTGTTGTTTATTTTTATTTTTGGACAGGCTTACGAGCTTCATGCTATGCTAAAACATTTAGCTTCGTCACACCCGGGCGCTCACATAGCTGCCCAATAAACGGGGGTGGGGTCCTCGCGACTCAACGAGACTACCTGTATAAATAAAAAATAAATAAATAAATACAAATCAGACCAATTAAATTACCGAACAGGTCACAGTGGACCAGCGAAACTTCGAATTACCGTAAATCACGCGCTAAATTCTTCAGATCAGTTATTTTGTGCTTCATGCGCAGACCCTCATCATGGAAAACACACGAAGACATGAAGATGATGCAGCTTTCAAGTTAAAGGTGATCGATCTGGCTGTTGAAGAAGGAAATATAGCTGCTGCATATAAGCTTGGCATTTCCTGGCAGGCTACTGTATTTAGTTGTTTTCTTTTAACCAGCCGTGTTACAGGCACTGTTCAGAAAAAACATTTACTGTACGTAGTTGTGCATGTTACCGGTATGTATTTAATTAAAAGTTTAAATAATCTTCCTGTGTAAATATCTCATGTTACAACGTAGACACCTGCAGCTTATAGACAAGCGCGGCCTATATATGACCACATTTTATTTATTTTTGTTAATTTAACGGGTGCGCTCAATAGTCCGTACATTATGGTAAGTTGCTTATTTTGCAAGTTTTCCTGCTCACAAGACGGACAGATGGCTGGAGGGATAGCAGGATGGACAGAATAAACCATAATGAGCCTGCTGTCGACAGACGTATAATGAAAGATGAAATGTGAAACTACAAAAATGGATGTCTGAAGAGCAAGATGACGTTTGTTGTGCATGACCAAGCAGACATCTTATGAGTCTGGAGCACAAACTGGCTGAGAAGAGAACCAAGATGCTTCAGATCTGCCCGATAAAATGAAAGTTTGGCATTTGGTTTGCTAGTGAGCAGAGGTGGAGAATATCACATCTGCTACACTAAACTGAGACGAATGACAATTTTAGGATTTGAGTTTTGTGGCAACACAAAGATAAACCAATACAAATACTCAGGGAGCTTTAGCGAATTTTGGGATTAAACTTGACATTGCAATGAAAATATGTCCCCAACGTACAGTTAAATGCATGTCTTGGACATAAAACTGTGTGTAAAACCGTTAAAATGGGCGTGGGTGAGTGGAAGTCCAGTAATTTCAACTTTGAGCACCATTTGTGGTTAAATGCACTTTAATAACCTGCAGGTCAGGACTGAAACCCCCACTTCACTTCATAACAGGCGGATTATCATCTAAACTAACCTGCGAGCCGCCCTGAAACTTTCCTGTGGACTTCTCGGACCATTATCCCACGCCTCGACTTCCCATTTACATCACCAAAGCAGCTATTACCCAATTGTCCCGAAGCCCGGCAGCTCATGAGCTCCAACACCGGCGACACTGCTGGACTGAACGAGGGGAGATTTGAGATTGTTTTGTTTATTCCATTAGACGTTGACATCTGCAGGAGGAAGATCCAATTTGTGCAGGAAGATTCTGCTGCCGGATGCCGGCCCCGCCGCGGCACTCGGGGGGTTTTAATGGTGATAATGAGAACCTGCGGGCTGAGGCGGTTTAACGCTCCGGCAGTGAGACTTTGTTTAACACGGGTCTTTTGTGTCAGAAGCGACGGTGTGTGAGCACCAGCTTATTAAAAAGCCAACTAACGAGCATCCGTGTGGCTCAACAGGATGGAGGGAAAGAAAAAAGGTCAAGAAGCGACTTCGCCGAGTCACGACCAAACAAACAGCTCTGAATGTTTGTATCGTTTCTTATTCTCTTCTCGTGATGGGATCGCCTCGATCGGCACAAATAAAACAAGAGATAAGCACACGGTTAAACTGGAGAAATGAGAATAAAACCATTTATACACAAGATCTGACATTTAAATTCATTAAACTAGAGACTGACAGTATCACAATATTAACGCTTTTCTCATGATGCACGACACTGGCTCTTTTTTCTTTTGCTTAAAGAGATAGTTCAGATAATTTCTAGTGTTTTAGGTAAGTCATCGACTGATCTCACTTTGATGAAGAAGTGAAATTAGACCAATTCAGTCCAAACGTGGCCTAAACAAGTCAAATTAATTTAAAAGGTAATTTTAAAAGCCTTTACATTGCCGTCAAGTCGTCGGTGTAATTACACGCGACAATGAACTGTTCGAGATTGGAGATTTATTTATTTTTTTTAAAGATGGCAGCGAACATTTCAGCCTCAGCCCTGTTCAGAAAATTGAGAAAAAAGTAAATAAATAAATAAAAACCGAAGCCAGCAGTTTCCAGTTTCTGTTGTAATTTTAAATCCAGTGTCTGCGCACTCGGTGTTAATTGAGCAACTTTGCGATATTTGAGTGTTTTCAGACCCCTCTTGTGACTTTTCATCCAAAAGCAGTCGCTAATCCTCTCTGGTCAATTATGCAAATTAGGTGGTGATGTCATTTAGCAACTTTTTCAGCAGCCAGTAGCTACTTCCTTCTCCCCCAACCACACACAAACAATATGTTTGTAGGCATCAAATAACTAATGGCAACTAAACATTTTAGGAAAATTAATATTATGCAGCAGCAAAGTAAGAACTGCATGAATCCATTCAAGATAACTCCTGAAGAAAATAATCTGATATATATTAAAAAAAATAAAAATCAGGACATGCTCTGTTTGCTTACATGATTTGGCTTCAGTGTCCTCGTTATGTTCCTGTGTCTAGTTATTTAAATATGTCGATGGTTCAGACGAGTCGCTTGCTCATCAGTCCAGTCAGAATTACTGAGGTTGCTCATCTACAACAGGTAAGATACTTATAACTTTTGCTCAAAACCTCATGTCTAAAAGTCTTGAACTATCCGTTTAAGAGCCATATTGGCTCTTTATAATTGTCGCCGCGTGTGGTTCGATGCTTCACAAGGTCATGGCGTCCAGGAGCCAGTTTCATAAAACTGCAGATCCTTGTAGAAAACTTTGCTCTCGAAGGCAACAACTGACTCACAAAGCAGATTTACACGAGGTCGCTTCAAAACAAATCAAACTCTGCCTTTGTGAATAGAAATAAATGTTCTCTGGCACAGTTATCTTGGATAAAATGAATAATTTTCCCACCACTTAAAAAAAAACCAGACTGATGAAATGGAGCTGGAACTGAAAAAATAAAATTCAGTTCAAAGCAAAAATACTCTAAATGTGATCTGAACACAAATTTAATGTCCGAAACCGTTTGGACGTTGAATATCAGTCTTGATTATTGAAATAAACCAAATCATAACAAAAGTAGTCGTTTTAAAACATCTAATGTTTATGTGGCAGTTGATCAACAACGTGAGAAATACTCCTGGCTCTAATAGGAAATATTTAGGCTGTGAAATTATGTTTACGTATAAATCAAATAAATGGTTTTATTCCTGGACAGAGTTTAGTTTAAAACTGAGGAAGATGAAGGTGAGATAACCTGAACGATGTCTCTCTCAGCGAGTCGTCCTCTGGAGGAGATTCTGACTTCATCGCCGTCCAACTCCACCATGGCTACAGAGGGAAAGAAAACAAACCGTAAAGAATGTGTATAAATACTCCAACATCTGCCTACAAACAAGAACATAACTTTGAAGACTTACCGTCAAACTCCGCAGGCCCGACGCCCACAATAATGATTGACATGGGCAGGCTGGCAGCCTAAAACAGACAGAAAAAAAACTTTTGTTTAAACAAAACATAAGCCTTATTTACAGTTAGGGCCTGTCACGATAACAAATTTTGCCGGGCGATTAATTCTCTCAGAAATTATTGCGATACACAATAATATTGTTTGAAATTTGACAATAATATTGTCAAATTAAAGAAGAAATGTTTAATTTTGTGTGCAATGCCTTTTTTGACCACTGGATGGCAGTATAAGGTTGTTTGAACTGAAGGATGGATAGTGAGGGAGCGAGGAACGTGTCTCTTTAAGAAAAATGGGAGGGATGCCCCTTGACATGACATGGGCTGTCTCTTTGTCCTTGTTTTCGGTTCTCAAAATGGTGGACGCTCGGTGTGGTTTGAGCTCTTTAGCATAACATTTGTCACACAAAGCTTTTAATTATAAAAAATTAAAAAAAAAATCAGTAAACAAGTTCTCAGCTTAGCTGCTTTTAGCAGAGAGCAGAAAAGAAGAGAAGAAACGATAAAGCCGATAAATGAAAATGAGGTTGATAGTTTTAATTTATCAAGCGATTAATTGATTTATTGTTTATCGCAACAGCCCTATTTACAGAAAAGTTTGTCTAAAAAGCTTCTAAACTTCAGTCTTTAATTAAGATTTCACATGAACCTTCTTATAATTATACAGCTACAAAAACTCATTGTGATCTAGATTTAGCTGCTGAACAAAACAGGAAAAGATTAATTTTCGTGAACCACAAATATGAGCTCTTATTTTTGTCCAAAAGCTAAAATATTTTAACAAATATCTTCAGACTCCATTGGTCTTTCTCAAATAACAGCATAAACAGCAGGTGATCATGTAAACATGTGTTAGTCTGTTTGTTAGCAAAATATCTTAAGAATCACAGCATGGATTTTAATTAAACTACAGCCACCTTTGGAAATATACTAGATTCAAGATGGCCGTCGCAGTTAATAGATCTTAGCAATCACAAAATTGGTGTTCACCCAGTCACTTTACAGAAATAGAGGTAAAATTTGGTGTGGAAGTAGCTGAGAGTTATCCTAAAAACATTAGCTGAGATTTTAGCTACCGGTAGTCTTTTCTTATTTTTAGCTTTTTTTCATTCAAGCTTTATTTATACAGGTTAGTCTCATTGAGCCTCGAGGACTCATTTACTGTACGTTTAGCTACGTCTAGCTAAGCTTTTAACTAACCTTTTGCTGCTTTTAGCTACCATCAAGTTGTTTTGGCGTTTTTGTCTAATCTTTTGCTACTTTGAAAGTCTAGCTAACGTTTTGCTACTTTTACCTTAGGTTTGGCTTGTTTTAGTATTTAAAAAGCATTTTCCTAATTTTGGCTTTTAGCTAGTCTTTTGCTTATTTTAACTTTTAGCTAACCTTTTGCTACTTTTAGCTACCACTTTTTGTTTTGCATTTTTGCCTAATCTTTTGCTACTGTGAAAGTCTAGCTAGCATTTTGCTAAACTTAGCTTTGGTTGAGCTTGTTTTAGCTTAGCTACCACTTTTTGTTTTGCGTTTTTGCCTAATCTTTTGTTAATGTGAAAGTCTAGCTAGCATTTTGCTACATTTAGATTAGGTTTAGCTCATTTTAGCATTTAGAAAACATTTTACTACTTTTGGGTTTTAGCTAGCCTTTTGTTTATTTTAACTTTTAGCTAACCTTTTGCTACTTTTAGCTACCAATATTTGTTTTGCGTTTTTGCCTAATCTTTTGTTAATGTGAAAGTCTAGCTAGCATTTTGCTACATTTAGATTAGGTTTAGCTCATTTTAGCATTTAGAAAGTATTTTAATACTTTTGGCTTTTACCTAGCCTTTTGCTAATTTTAACTTTTAGCTAACCTTTTGCTTCTTTTAGCTATGCTTAAGTTGTTTTGTGTTTTTTGCCTAATCTTTTGCTACTGTAAAAGTCTAGAAAGTCATTTGACTACTTTTACAGAAGCTTAGTTTGAGCTCGTTTTAGCTTTTAGAAAGCATTCTGTTACTTTTGGCTTTTAGCTATCATTTTGCTAATTTAAACTTTTAGCTAAACTTTAGCTACTTTTAGCTACCATTAAGTTGTTTTGTGTTTTTGCATAATCTTTTGCCACTGTGAAAGTCTAGCTAGCATTTTGCTACTTTTAGCTTAGGTTGACCTTGTTTTAGCTTTTAGAAACCATTTTATTACTTTTGGCTTTTACCTAGCCTTTTGCTAATTGTAAGTTTAAGCTAACCTTTTGCCACTTTTAGCTAACATTATGCTACTTATAGTTTTTGAGTAGCTTTTGTTACTGTTAGCCTTTAGCTAGAGTTATGATACTTGCTACTGCTATTACATCTACTAACAAAGTGCAGTTTATATATTTAGACTCTGTTTTCAGACACATGAACTTTTCGAGACTGATTCAAGATGGCCGCCAAAGATAATCAAGTTTGGCAAACACAAAAATGGCTGACCTAATACATTTTACAAACATTGAATTAAAACCTGAATTATGCACATTTACAATATGAATTATTTGTTTTTGTTCTTTATAAACAAAAACCTAAAATAAAGAGATTTTAAAAGTGAATGTGTGTTTTGGTCTTTTTCCTAACTTTTAAACAAAATACTTATTTTATTCAGTAGGGACGATATAAACCTGTGTCTTTGTGGAGTTGAGCCCAACATGGTTTAAAAAGTCTTACAACGTTTACCAAACATTATTTTCTCTGGCGGTAAATTTCTAACGCCCGGTTGATGTTTTGCATTACACACTCCGTATGTGTCAGAATTTGTGTGAATCTTTGACGTGAGTGTTTTCTGCGGCGCCTCCCGGAGCGCTGTGTGGGCTGAGACATCACCGCCGATGATAGAGGATAAGAATGTCTCCAAAAACAGCCTGAACGCACAGACAGCCCACAAATGACGCGACTGTGTGTGTCGGTGTGTGTTCAGTGCATCGGAGTAACGCTTTGACCAGAGGCTCTGGAGTGATAGATGAAATCAAAACATTTCATGTATTTCCTGCCCCCCCCCTCAGATCCAATCGTCACATCTGGGGATTTTTTATTTTGTTGCCTCCCCTGGGTCATCTTCTTCCCTCGTTGTCTCTCTCCATCAACAGCATCCCTTCCAGTTCGACTGCCCACTGTTCTGGTAAACTAAACGTCTTGGCTTCACACAACAGGGTCATTTTTCTTTTTTCGGTTATAGCTCGACAGCGATGGAGAGGACAAAGAAGGGACTGATCAACACGAGATAACACCAGAAAATAAAAACGGTAAAGGTTCCCATGTTGCATATTTTTGTTGGCGGTGCCGGGAAAGAAAAACGTGTCCTTTTGAATTAAACATGACAATTAAAGAAAAAAAAAAAAAACATACTTTTTTTGTCAATTCTGACTATTTTGGTTCTGGTGGATAAACATGATTTATAAATGCAATAGTGTGAGTTTTCTGCATGTTGTCAACAATGAAATAAAACCGTTTTATTCCATTTCAGCATTAGTACATTGTCGTATAGCAATATGACCTTTTGTAAAGGTCAAAGGAAAAGCTACTTATTATTTTAAGTTTATTTATCAGACTATTGTAGTTTTAGTCATTTCTCTTGTGGAGTTTTTGTCTCTACAACTAATATTTTATGACGAGCTAATATGAAGAGATTAAAAAAAACGATTAACCTGCCATATAAAGTTTTTATTTGCTTTAATTATTGCATCTAATTATGTGTTACACTGTAATGTGTTGTTATACATCACACTGCATTATTTGGTTATGTAGCTGAAGTGTATCATGACGTATCACACTTAATCATATGTTGATCTATAAGACTGTGTCATACCGTGATGTATCACACCATATTATATGACGATGTATCAAACCGTATTGCATCATGATATATTGCGTTGTAACATATTGTGATGTATCACACTGCATTGTATCGTACCAAAATGTATCCTACCTAATGATGTATCACACTGCATTGTATCGTACCAAAATGTATCCTACCTTATGATGTATCACACTGCATTGTATCGTAACAAAATGTATCCTACCTTATGATGTATCACACTGCATTGTATCGTACCAAAATGTATCCTACCTTATGATGTATCACACTGCATTGTATCGTAACGTATTGTATCACACCTGATCGTGTCGTGATGTATTGCACTGTATTATATTGAGATGTATTACACAGTAATAATGTAACAGACTTCATCATACCATTACCATATTGAACTTTTTTGGATTTTTCTACCTGGATTATTGAGCATGTATCTGAATACAGCACCTCAGACTGAGGAAGTCTCTCGGATGAGAGATGAAACGTTTCTACATTTTTTTTGCATTGTTTTGTTTTTTGTCTTTTTTGTTTTCTTGTTTTTTGAATGTCCAGAGGACCAGATTGAACTTTTTTGGATTTTTCTACCTGGATTATTAAAAAAACAACAAAAAAAAACCACTTTATTAATCCCAAAGGGAAATTATTTGTTGTTGTAGCTCGTTATCCTCATTTCATTAAGATATGTTATAGATGCTGATGGCTGTAGGCAGGAAGGATCTCTTGTTAAGGTCCATCCCACAGTGGATCCTAAGAAACTGGCTGCAAATGCCGTCCGATCCGCCCACCCAGACTCGGCTGGCCTCTCGGTTCCCCCGGGCTGTAGGACCACCTGAATGGCGGGCAGAACTCCTCCCAGAGCGATTGCCACTCCTCCCAGCAGTCTGCCGAGCTCCTCGTAGCTGCGGACAGCCAGCTGTAGGTGCCGAGGGACGATCCTGTCCTTCCGCTGTCACGAGCCGTGTTTCCTGCTAGTTCCAGGATCTCAGTGGTCAGGCACTCGAGCACAGCTGGCAGGTAGATGAGAATGCATCCACAGAACATCCTTTTCAACTCATTTGAGATTTGGCGCTGTAGTTGAGATATTATTTGAGCGTTTGAGACGTTAATCAGCTGCTGTTGGTTGTCGAAAACGGTGTTGTTGCCATGGTTACGCATCATAACAAATGTCCAAAACTAAAAAAGTTTCAGTAAAAATCTTTAAAAATCAGTAAAAAATTATTGAGCATGTATCAGGATATTTATCATACTGTAACATGATTTATTACATTGTGTCCTATCATGATACACTGTATTGTATTGTAACGTCATGCATCACATTGTATTGCATTGTATCCTAAATAGCATATTGTATTGTACATAATTGTGTCTCTTATTGCGATATGTTGAATCATATTGTATTGCACCATACTGTAGCATTTTGTAATGTATTTTAACATATAATGACTGTAGTCTATCATACTTCATCATATCACACTGTGTCATAATATATTACAATGTATACTATCATTGCATATCATAGAAAGTGTAAAATAAATTAATCTAAATATAAGAGATGATTTGCTGACGAGACTAGTAAAAGTGCGCCTTCGATCGGACGGAACAGACTTCTGATCAGGAGTGTAATTACACACTGACATGAATAAATGTAAGTGAAGTAGTATAAGGGAGAATGTTATTAGCTGTGCATTAACTGTGAAAAGCTGACATAATTATAGTCACTTTTCTTTTATTTTTGTCTGCAACCTCGTAATTATAATATGAGAAGTTCTCAGTCAGATGTAATTAAAAAAATAAAATAAAATACTGTTTTCTTTTTTAGACGTTTTTTGAAGATGTTATAAAGCAGAGTGAGGAGTTTCAGTTTGAGCTAACGTGCAGCACATGCACTTACATTAACGATGGACTCTTTAGTCTGTGCCATGTCTGAGATGACGCCGTCTGTGATGATAAGAAGGACAAAGTACTGAGAGCCGTCCGTCACAGAAGCTGCATACCTGTGCAGAAAAACACACAAAACAAACGATGGAATCACTTCTGTGTGTTAATGCGCACTGTTCCTATTAAATTAGGATTATTTAGAGGAAAAACCTGTTTAAAAAAAGTTTAGTATTAAACCCAATGTAGTCATTTTACAATAAATATATATATTTTTGAGTAAAAGTAAACTACAAAATATATTTTGTCTTTTTGAATACATATTTTTTCCTTCCACTTTTTGATGCAAGCAACAAAAACATTTCTGGCATGTTTTCCTCTGTGTTGCATCACCTCTTACTTAAACAACATAAACCAAGGAGACAAATTACTGGAGCTTGGAAAGGCAAACGTTATCCCATTTTTGCTTTATGAATGTCAGTTCCTTGACAGCTGAAGACTTTATTTGCTGCATTTTTTTATTTTATTTCAAATCACACAAAATGTTTTCAGTGGATCTGGATTGCAGAATGTGGAGAGGCATCATTTTTACCTTAAAAAACCTATTTAGTCTATTTGAATCCATAAAGCAACATCTGGACAGAAATAGATTTAGGTCTGTTTTTATTTTTATAAAGATCTTTCAGGTTTTGGTTTATGTCTTTGTCTTTTTTATTTACTTATTATTCTGTGCTTAAAGAAATTTATTTTCAATCCTTTAATACTATTTAGCATTCAAAACAGAAATTAAAATCTACGCCCTCACCGTCTTTCACAACATGATAAATGTCTCTCCATCTCAGCTTTGGCACTGTCTTCATGCATATCATGCAGTTTATCTTTCAACATTTATCCATAATACCATTTAAAATGATCCAAACTTATTTCAAAGTACAACATTGTGAATTATCTTTAATTTAGTTTGTTTCAATAAATTGTTTGGATCATTTAAATTACATTTTTAAACGTACTGCCTTGGATTGTGATGCTTGTTTTTAAATGAAGTGCTTGAAAATGAGACATTACCCCAGCTTTGTGACGGGGCACGTTTCCTTTCACTCCGGAGAACCTAAATCCATCAATTTCTGCAAAACGTTCACTCTACAGGTCTTTAACTCAGTATGTATCAGTTTCTCCTGTAATGTGTGCAGGGTGACCTTTCACGTCCATATAAGATGTGATGCGACTCTTACTGACATTTACACAGATATTTTAATTTTTTTTTAATCTGCTTCGGTTTCTTATAATATTCACTTTTCTGCTCTGAGGGATAAGACATATACTGTCTCCTCCAGACTAACAATAACCAATACTTTCCCTGGAATAGATCCCAGTGTAAGAGACAGAATGATCGAGATTGAGAGAAACAAACGATGATGAAAAAACCGATTAAGACCAGGAGGTGAAGTTATAGACAGCTTGGACTTTTTGTCATTTTATGTTTTAGACTGCCATCAAATAGTACATTATGTGGTGATTTCAGCAGAAATATATTCCTGCAAAGTTTCCAAGTTGCACCAAAAATGCCACAACTAGCTGCTTCTGCTATTTGTATTTGCAAATACCCACATAATTATACATATTATATGTAAATAATGTTGTTTTGCAAAACTGTCAACAATTAAAACAGCTTAAAAACAGTGTTTGCACACACAAAAGTGAATAAACTGTTGAAAGATGGCAGGAATTTTCTTTTTGGTATATTTAGCTCAAAGGAATAGCTCAAATTATTACTTGATGCAAAATAAAATAGCTATAATGCAAAATTCAGAGCAATGTAAAGGTTTAGAAAACTGCTCCGATATTGTTTAGATTCAGTTTTAAGATGGCAGCAATCCACTTCTGTATTAGATACAGTCAAGCTAACCGTTAGCTGGAATGGGCTCAAGCTCTCATTTTTTGAAAATAACAGAACAACGCCAGTGTGACAGCATATTTAAAAAGTCTTTACACAAACCACTACAATATTTTTGACATTTAAGTGGTTTTAAGACAGCCACAATCCACTTGTCTCAGCTACAGTCAAGCTAACCGTTAGCTTGCTAGTAGCTCAAGCTGTCATTTTATGTATAGCGCCCGTACCACGTAGCTAAAGAGTTAACCAATAGGTTAGATTGAAATATAGTACATTGGTCAGGGCCCTGGGAATGTTATTTTAAAGATAGCTGTACTAACAGCTTTCAGGAGATACAACTTACTCTTTCTATTTACCGGTAATTTAATGGGGGTGCCTCCACTTAGCAGGGAATTATAACTTTACACTTTGTTTAACCCACTAAGAATTTAATTTGCTTCACACATAAAATAAAACAGAATATTTTTAAATAACAAAAAAAATAGATATTGCTCTTCAAACATAAAACTCAACTCCAAAATAACCCGTTGCAGGCCTGAATCAATGCTTGGGTGCGTGGCAGCTAAAAACAAACGGCTCGATCGCTCACTGAGTAAATAAATAAAAAGCACGTGCACTGGTTTAGTTTTGTACTCGCAAATCCTTAAATGTTTGAGACTGGATCGGGAAAAGGTAGATGGGGAGATCCCTTTAGTATGGCACTGAGTAAGGTAAGTAGGCAGGTGATGTCACATGAACACAGAGATCCTTCCTAACCTCACCGATGGGAATCCAATGGCTGAATGGGGAACTTCTAACTCGTCCAGCAGGTCCAAACATTAGCTCCTGGTCCACTTTCATATGCTTCTTAAAGTCCATTACAGCCAACAACTCTGCATTCACCATTGCAATGGATAGTTTGACTCCATTATTGTCACTGTGTTCTCTGCACTTGTCTGGTTTTCACAAAGATCCACATTTCATGCAGCGTACCATTAATCCCGCCCACTCTCTTCTGATTGTGCAAAATAAAATGCTTATTAATCCAATACAAAACAAAACTGAAAAAGATTGACACTTAGCACAACTCAAAGAGTAGGTTGTAACCTGCCATGCAGTATGTACCCCTTAAAAAAACCCTTTATGTAACATTCAAGGAACATAGTAAAAATGACAACTGCCTGTTTCAGTCTGCCTAAACTAGATTTTCTGGACCAAATATGAACCGTTTTTAAAATGATACATTTCTAAACGACAATAAAGTTATTTCATATTTCTTCCACTTTTATCACTTAGACATTATTTTTAAACTCAAATGATACCACTATGAAACCAGTCCAATACCCTAGTATACTGTATAGCACAGTTCAAATTGGGCTACATATGTAAATAACGTTGTCATGAAAAATTGCCAACAATGTAATGTTTTTTTTAGCCTTTACACAAACCATTATGATTTTTTTTTTTTAATATTTAGTTATTTGAGTACAGTAGCAATCCAGTTTGGTCTTAGCCCCACTCAAGCTAGCCATTAGCTGGAATGGGCCCAAGCTCCCTGGATTGGCAGACCGGGGTGGTGGTCCCCCTATTCAAAAAGGGGGACCGTAGAGTGTGTTCCAACTACAGGGGAATCACGCTCTTAAGCCTCCCCGGTAAGGTCTATTCGGGGGTTCTGGAGAGGAGAGTCCATCGGATAGTCGAACCTCGGATTCAGGAGGAGCAGTGCGGTTTTCGTCCTGGCCGTGGAACACTGGACCAGCTCTACACTCTCAGCAGGGTCCTGGAGGATGCGTGGGAGTTTGCCCAACCAGTCTACATGTGCTTTGTGGACTTGGAGAAGGCGTTCGACCGCGTCCCTCGGGGGGCCCTGTGGGGGGTACTCTGGGAGTATTGGGTACTGTGTGGGCCCTTTTGATACGGGCTGTTAGGTCCCTGTATGACCGGTGTCAGAGCCTGGTCCGCATCGCTGGCAGTAAGTCGGGCTTGTTCCCGGTGAGAGTTGGACTCCGCCAAGGTTGCCCTTTGTCACCGATTCTGTTCATAACTTTTATGGACAGAATTTCTAGGCGCAGCCAAGGTGTTGAGGGGATCCGTTTTGGTGGCCTTAGGATTGCGTCTCTGCTTTTTGCAGATGATGTGGTCTTATTGGCTTCATCAGATCATGATCTACAGCTTTCGCTGGAGCGGTTCGCAGCCGAATGCGACGCGGCCGGGATGAAGATCAGTTCCTCCAAATCCGAGGCCATGGTCTTGAGCCGGAAAAGGGTAGAGTGCCCTCTCCGGGTCAGGGAGGAGGTCCTGCCCCAAGTGGAGGAGTTCAAGTATCTTGGGGTCTTGTTCACGAATGAGGGAAAAATGGAGCGTGAGATCGATAGGCGGATAGGTGCAGCGTCTGCAGTGAAGCGGGCTCTGTACAGGTCTGTCGTGGTGAAGAGAGAGCTGAGTCAAAAGGCGAAGCTCTCAATTTACCGATCGATCTACGTTTCTACCCTCATCCATGGTCACGAGCTTTGGGTTGTGACCGAAAGAATGAGATCTCGGATACAAGCGGCCGAAATGAGTTTTCTCCGCAGGGTGTCTGGGCTCTCCCTTAGAGACAGGGTGAGAAGCTCGATCATCCGGGAGGGACTCAGAGTAGAGCCGCTGCTTCTCCACGTCGAGAGGAGCCAGTTGAGGTGGCTTGGGCATCTGTTTAGGATGCCTTCTGGACGCCTCCCTGGTGAGGTGTTCCGGACACGTCCCACCGGAAGGAGGCCCAGGGGAAGACCCAGGACACGCTGGAGGGACTATGTTTCTCGGCTGGCCTGGGAACGCCTCGGGATTCCCCCGGAAGAGCTGGCCCAAGTGGCTGGGGAGAGGGAAGTCTGGGCCTCCCTACTTAGGCTGCTACCCCCGCGACCCGACCCCGGATAAGCGGAAGAAAATGGATGGATGGGCCCAAGCTCACCATTTATGTAAATAATGGTACAATGCCAAAGTGACAGCAGTGTAAAGTTTATTTAAAAAGCCTTCATAAAAACCACTAAGATATTTTTTAGATTTAAGTTGTTTTAAAACGGCAACAATCCACTTTGGTTGTAACCCAACTCAAGCCAGTTTATTAGTTTGAGAGTCTAATCAGAATTAAACTTTATTTCTACAAACTTAGATCAGTCAGTCTATAACACAAAAGGCCTTAATTGGTTATAATCATTACATTGAACATAACATGAATAAATCTAAACTATCCCTTAAAGGAGAAGATGGCAAAATTAGCAAACTGTAGCAACCTTGCCGTTGAGATTTCAGTAAATCATCATCCAGATATGTGAAGTAACCTGATGAGAAATCGCTTCAGTTCTTTTTAATTACATACTTGTATGAAATGTTTCCTAATGTTTTTTTTAAGAGAAGGCCGTCTTGATGATGTGCCTATTCGACTTCCCTGCTGTGCGGTTCGTGCTCATGTTGAAAAAACGGACAAAAACAAACATGCAATCAGCTTCTTTAAAAGAAAATAAAATCTTGTTCGTTACCTGGCAACACTTGCTTCAAAGAGCTCATTATAGAAAAACTCTGAGACACATGTTTAATGTCAGAAAGCGGTGTACGCCGTGTTCTTTCACGCGTACTCAAATAAAGTTGATTACATAAGCAATGATAGCAAATACGTAACAAAAAAAAAAAAGAAAAAGAAGTTGGTGAAATTAGATTGAAACGCACAATTATAAAGAAATGTGAGTGCGATGTGTGCTACCTGGCCACGTGGTTGATGACGGGGGAGAAGTTGGTGGGTCCATAGAGTTGAACTGACTTCAGGCTTTGGTAGTAGGCTTCCATCACACCATCAATACCGGTACAGTATGGGTTCTGGGGATTTCCATTCTGGAGAGAAACAACAAGTTGGACTAATCTGAGAGGCCTTCAGCTAGGGAATGCAGGAAGGAGTAATATCCTGATGAATGTTCAATAATCCAGGTAGAAAAATCTAAAAAAGTTAAGGAAGGAGTAATGTTTTCCTCAAAGTCGAAGCCTCCAGACTGAACCAAAGCTTGTTGCGCAAAACTTTATTCTGTCTTACATCCATCCATCCATTTCACCGCCACTTATCCATGGTTGAGTTTGGAGGCATCAAGTCCAGGAGAGAAACCCAGACATCAGTCTCTTGAGCAACACTCTCCTGGGAGATCATAAATTGTTCCCAGGCCAAAGAAGATACATAATCCCTCTAGTAAGTTCTGGGTTTGCTTAGGGGTCTCCTCCAAGTGGGACATACCCTCTAAAGCAAGGCGCCCTAATCAGATGTCTGAATCACCTCAGCTGACTCCTTGTGATGTGGAGGAGCAGCAGCTCTATTCCAAGCGCCCCCAAAATGATGGAGCTCTTCACCTTATCTGCTTCTTATCTTGTATCAGTGATCTCCGTCATGCTATGGGTGAGTTGGAACATTCATCCCTGTCCTGAGGTGAGCATTCTAACTTTCTATAGTTGAGAATGATGAGCTCAGACTTAAAGGAGCTGACTCCCGTTTCACACTATGCTGCAGTCTGCCCAAGAATACCCTGAAGGTCATAGCCTGAAGGTAGAAATAGAACCACATCTTGTGCAAAAAGCTGTCTAGACCCTGAAGTTCCCAAATCTGACAGCCTGAATCAATGGCTATGCCCTGAGATCTTGTCCATGAACACTTTATGGCACTTTTTAAAATTCTTTTGTTTCTGAAAAAGAAACCCAGTTTCAATATTAGTTTCTTTATCAAGCTTTCAACATGTGGCTTCAACATGTGGCATCAGTTAACATTCCCCAAGTATTTATAAGAATCCACAAACTCGATAGGAACATCATGCATGGATTAGATAGGATGAAGAGCAGCTGGTACCAACTTTTTGTTTGAAAACAACATCCCCTTGGTTTTATCAGCGTTTAGCACCAGTTTGAGACGGAACAATAAACAATTGTATCTCAGTATAGAGATGCAAGGAGGCATCAGGAATGTTTTGACCTACATCATTTATACAAATTGTAAAAAGAGTGTGTCCTAAAACTGAGCCTTGTGGCACACCATTAGTAACTGTTATACAGCTAGACGAAGTACCATTGTATCAAACACGTTGCCTCCGCCTTGAGAGATAGAAAACCAACGAACAATGTGATCCGAGAAAACAATATCTATAATCTATATCTGCTATCTACAATATCTACTGTATTATTGCCCAATGCCCAGTAACATCTCCCAGTTTCTTATGCGGGCCTTTGGGACAATTAGTTCCCCACCTCTGCTCTATCTTGTACCTACCAGGGCAAATTCGTGAGATATTCGTCCGTCAGGAGGGAGTTTGGCTCCAAAGCCCAGCGCAGGAAACATCTTGTCGCTGTCATAGTCCTGAATGATTTCTCCGACTGCCTTCAGCGCCATGCCGTAGGCGTTCAGCTGGTAGGGATTCATGTAGTGGAGCGAGGTGGGCTGGGCGGGGTTTCCTGTTGGGGTCAGAGGGAACATCACATGTTCAGCTAATAAAAAAATACCACCTACTGTAAATGCCACCGTAACACTTTAAATGTGAAGATTAGTCCAATGAATAAATGACTATTTTTTTTTTGTAGCACAAGATTTTTACATGATAATTTATGATCATTTACAAAAAATAAAAATATAAGCTTTATAATTGTGTGAATGTTTATACAGTATTTTCTAGCTTTTAGCTGCTCTGTTAGCTAGCCTTCTGGAAGTTTTTGCTTTAAGTAAGCCTTTTGCTACTTTTAGTTTTTAGCTACCAGTTTGCTACTTTTAGCTAAATATTTTGATACTTAAAATTTTTACTACTTTTGGTATTGGTTTAAGATTTTCTTTTAGCTTATAGCTAATTCTTCCTCTAAGCTAGTTTTTGCTCCATTAGGCTTTTACGACTTTAGATTTTAGCAAGTCTTTTAAAAATTTTAGTTTGCTTTTTGTCACTTAACTTTTAGCAAAGTTTGATGCTTTTAGTTTAGCTACCTGTAGCCAACCTTTTGCTACTTTTCACCATCCTTTTGCTAATGTTAACATGTAGCAAGTGTTTTGTTACTTTTATCACATTTTACTACTCATAATTAACTTTTTTTCTTTTCAATTATATACTGGTTTTCGCTAGCTTATTCTCTTTTGCACAGCTGCAGAAAGGAAAGCTTTGCAGAGAGTGGTGAAGGCTGCACAGAAATCTGTTGGAATCAGTCTCCCCACCATCACAGACATCTACACCTCCAGATGCAGGAAGAGGGCCACCTGCATCATGAAGGACCCCACCCACCCAGCACACACAGTTTTTGCCCCACTCCCCTCAGGAAGGAGGTTGAGGAGCATTAAGTGTAGAACCACTAGACTGAGGAACAGCTTCTACCCTGAGGCTGTTAGACTCATGAATCTCTAACTAGAATAATCACTGTGAAAAACCATATGTTGCTGCTGATCTGTTTCATGTTGCTGCTGATCTGTTTAAATGTTGATGTGTTCATGCGTGCACATCTGCTCACAGACTCATGTTCACGTTTGTGCTGATGTTCAATGTTATGTTATGAGTGCTTAGTGTATATTTAGTTGATGTTTTTCTTAGTTCATATCTTAGATGTTATTACTGTTTTTCTTATACATTTTATTGTTGGATGTAACTGGGACCTTGTGTACATAATTTCGCTCCACCACATGTACCACATGAGGTGCGAATGACAATAAAGAAACTCTGACTCTGACTTTTGAGGTTTGTTATTTTAGCTTTTAGCTAGCCCATTGATAACTTTAGCTAGCTTTGTGTCACTAACATTTAGTTCTCTGCTTCTAGCTAGAATTTTGCTGAGGTTATTTTTAGCTTCTATTTGGTTGTGTAATGTAAAATTTACACTTAATACATACTGAATTTCACTGTAGATTCTTGTCCGTTGTTGCTCTGCAGCATGAAAACATCTACTGCAGTAACTATTTGAAGTTATTAGTAGCTTAGACATTTTTTTTGCCCATCTTCGTTGCCTTAATGTTGGCTGATAAATGTCTCACTAAATGCCTCGGGTAACGTTGTGAGCTTCACTGCCTCCATCATTAGGTGGAGTTTGTTTGTTTGTTGGAGGTTAGCTCACCCTGGGTTACAATTCTGTGTGGGCGGAGCAAACTTACCGTTAGCATCATGTTAATTACGGCAAAGTCATTCAGCACATTTCTTTAATACCATTGAAATGTTCTTTAATTTGACCTAACGTGACTCATGTCAGTTCACACATGGAGCTCTGCATACGGAAATGAGGGTTTAGTGATAAAATAACAAAACTCAGGCATACTAAACCTTAAACACATTCCTACGTCCACCTCTTGAAATCTTTTACTCAATTTGATACAATTTGACCAAATTGCTGCTTTATGTTCAAGCAGAGATGGATAACACGGCTCTTAATCACGGCCATCTTTTCACGTTAGCTTTAGCTGCCAGGAGTGATGGAGAGGGCCATTAGGAAACACTTGATTTTCCATTTGCATAGATTTCAATAAACTCCTGGAACGAGCAAAGTACTGTGATTGGCACCAGGGTGTGTGCGCACGTGAAAGTGTTTAGGCGCTCACCATTGGAGGCTGTGAAATCAATGGCCACGGTGAAGTTAATCTGAGTCCTTGGAAAACAAAAAGAGAGACATACAGTGAATAATAATTTGACAGATCAAACTTTGAAAAGACTATGACAAGTAAAAAACACAGAATTGACTAAGCAGTAAAGAGATTTACAACAATCAGTCGAGGAGCTGAGATAATGTAGCTTAAAGCTAAAAAAAAAATAGACATAATTATTGGCTGCCAACAAAGGGTGAAAAGTGAGTGATAATGAGTTGCCTATGTATTTGTTACAGTGGCCATGAGGTGTAAATGAACAATATTGAAAAAACGGAATTACATTTGAAAAAATGGAATTACACTAAGGCAAAGCAGAAGTGGCTGAAGCAGAAGTGGCAGAAGCGGAAGTCGCCAAAGCGGAAGTGGCCGGGCTCACATTTGAAAAAATGGAATTACATTAAGCCAAAGCAGAAGTGGCCGAAGCAGAAGTGGCAGAAGCGGAAGTGGCCAAAGCGGAAGTGGCCAAATCACATTTGAAAAAACGGAATTACGTTGGAAAAAAATGGAATTACATAAGTCAAAGCAGAAGTTGCCAAAGCGGAAGTGGCCAGAATCACATTGGAAAAAAACTGAATTAAATTAAGCCAAACCATAAGTGTTTATTTTATTTTTTTAATTTGATTAACAACATAGAGCAACAGAGCAATGTACAGTACCAAGATACAAATACAAACTCTCGTGAAGGATGTGGGGTCCATGTACTATTTGTTCACTTGTTTTTTAAGAGTAAAAAAAAAAAAAAACTTGTTTCATTATTCATCTTCATGAGGGATAAAAAATAAATATATATATATATATATATGTTACTGAACTTGTTACTGTTCATTGTTCTGTTGTTTTATGTTGTTTAAGATTTAAAAAAGCACCACTTATTTTAATTCTGTTTTTTTTTTCCAATGTAATTCCGTTTTTTCAAATGTGAGCCCGGCCACTTCCGCTTTGGTCACTACCGCTTTGGCTTAATGCGATTCCATTTTTTTCAAATGTAATTTTGTTTTTTCAAATATGATTCCGGCCACTTCTGCTTTGGCTACTTCCGCTTTGGCTTAACGTATTCTGTTTTTTCCAAATGTAATTCGTTTTTTTTTTCAAATGTGATTCTGGCCACTTCCACTTTGACTTAATGCAATTCCATTTTTTATCAAATGTAATTCTGTTTGTTCAAATGTTGCATTTTTGTTGCGATATTTCTAATTTAATTTTGTTTTTTGAAATGTAATTCTGTTTTTTTCAAATGCTGTTCACACCTCAGGGCCACCATAGTTTGTAAATCTTTTACCAACACATTTACCCTCATGAACCACTGGATGAAGTTTAATGAAACCTTTAGAAATTAATCACTGGATGTACGTCTACAACTAAATGTTGGACTCATCTTGATTCAAGATGGCTGCCACAGCCAACTGATCTTAGCAAACACACAAATGGTTTATCAGTCAATTTTACCAATGTTGACCTAGTATTTGCTGACAGTGATGCCCAACACATATTCTAAGCACTTAGAAATTGTGCAACCACCAGACAGATTTTAATGAAACTTTGAGGAATTAATCGTTAGATGCTCATGTACAACTTATCACCATTAGCCAACATAAAACTGGTTTTAATTCAGATAAGTTCACAGATATTGAGTTAAAAATTCATTTGGTTGTAGATGATATTACAAGAGATTGTGCACCATTTTACCTTCAAAGTTTGACAAAAATGATTACAAATTTGTTATTTCTCAACATAAAATGGCCTAAATTTAAAAATGTTATAGTTCCTTGAATTAATCATCATAACTTAATGCAAACATTTTAGATGTTAGTAGCAAGCCATGCTTAAGTCACTGGGCTTCGGTTTAAGTTTGGACCAAATAGGCACCAAAGTTACTAATTATGTTTGTGTAGGAGATTTTGTGTTCAGCCTGGGTCCAACTTTTGGAACAGAATAAAAATCAATTGAGTGTTAAAAAAGCACCTGCTGTGAGAAAGCAACGAGTCTCAATCAAAACCTTCCCCAACACCTTAACCTGCACAAGCACAGTGTGGTTAAACACTTTGTCACGGAGTTTTCACACCAATCGTCCATGCTGCCACACATACGCTTCCCTTGTGCATTTTCAGAGTCAAACATCATCTTTGTCACCTGGAATGAAGCCCTGTGCAGTCCAGTGGTGACAGACAGCGAGGGCGACACATTTACAGCATTTGTCAAGACAGTTAACATCCTGCTGGGTGCTACAGCTAAAGCCAGCAAAGTGACTTTATTAACTCATTCCAAAACATGCACTTGGAGGTTTCTTACGTAGCGACTGGAAATATTAACCCCAAAATCTAACAGACGCCCTGCCGAAGTTCTACACCAACAAACAGGATGCAAAGGCCGTCCCCTACCCCCACCTGGGCCTCCGACCACATCTACATCATGCTGGTCCCTGCCTATCACCCCTTAATGGAAAGCTACAGACCAACACAGAAAGCCATCATCGTGTGGCCAAGTGATGCTGACTGTTTCCAGTGCACAGACTGGCAGGTCTTCAGGGATGGAGTTGTCTGGGAGGGGGGCTTTGAGGAGTACACATCTGCTGTCTTCAGCTACACCAGTAAGTGCAATGATGATGGTACAAAACACCGGAAACTGTGAGCTGCTTCCCAAACCAGAACCTTGGCAAAATGCAGAAGTCTGGTCTCTACGGAAAGCCAGGGATGATGGGTTCAGGTCTGGCGCTATACGGTCCCTCAGAACGGCACAGAGAGCTGACTGCAAGCATTCAGAGGGCAAAGCTACCTTTCCCCCAAAGATCCACGGAGAATGTGAAAAGGCGTCAAATGCATCACAGAGTACAGCACCACAGACTGGCAATGCCCCAGGGACGGCACCCAGCCCGACGATCTCAACAGGTTCTACGCTCGCTTCAAAGGCTGCATCACCTCTTTCAACATCAAACTCATCCCAACACCAGGTGCAAAGCCCCTCAGTGTGACTCCTGCGGAAGCGAGAATGACCGTCCAGAGAATTAACTCTTGCAAACCGCTGACCTTGATAACGGCCCTTGGCGGGAGCACATCAACTCTCTGGGGTGCTGGCAGACATAATGAACGCCTCCCTTGCATAAGCAGCCGTCTCCACCTGCCTGTAGACCGACTGCCATCCCTGTCCCTTCCCGAGTGACAGCATCTCTCACCCCAATAGTCATGAAGTGCTTTGAGAAACCGGTTTTAGTCCACGTCAAGAACACCATCAAGGTTACAGTGGACCCACACCAGTAGGCAGATCAGAAGACCTGTTCCACAAAGGAAACCATCTCCTCTGTGGTTCACACTGCTTTCACCCACGTGGACAGCAAGGAACCCTTTCAAAACTTCTGAACTACCAGTACTGCTTTTAGGAGGAGAAAGCAGAATATCAAACCAAGTTAGTATGGGTTGTAGCTTATTTACCCTTTCATTAAAAAGTTTTCGGTTTCAAGTAGGACACACAACTCTCACAGAAACACTGTTTCCGAAATACAACATTTAAGATTTTTTTTGTCTATTTGAACGCACAAAACACTATCATAATTGGATTTTTTTTATTGGGCTTTAAAAATATAGTTCCACGGCTTGCACCAAACTGTGTCATAGTTGAAAAAAAATGTTACAGTCCCATTATTAAACAGTTTGTCAGTAAAATTAGGAAAGCATCAGGAAAAATGACTTGATTGTCTCAGGGACATGCTGCAGGGACAAGTGGGTGAATTCTGCACATGTTGGCAGAGACAAACTTCAGCCGAGCTGCTTGAATTATGCATGCCCTCCTTCCTCTGCTGTCATACCTCTGTCTGTCATACAAAGTTTATGAGAACACGTCAAACTGTGCAGCAGGCAGCAAAACAAGTTAAACTGTAACAACAGGCAACTCAAACCACGACGAAGAGGAGAAAAAGCCGTTTACGTCACTGTAAAACTTCTGCAAAAACAGTTACGAGTCACAATCAATACATACAATTTCAAAGACGTCAGCAAGACAAGCAGGCAGAAAAACAGCTTTAAAAACATGGTAAATCCCTACAAACACTGTTCACGATTGAGTTATTGTCACTGGTATTGATCAACATTTCCAAACCTCGGAGGCCTGATTATTTTACTCAGCGTCACATTTGTTTCCATCAGCAGAACGTCGAGGAAAAAGTGTTTCATTTGCAGACACAAACTAAAGGAAATTTGCATTCAATGCCCGACACGACCGTTTCAATTTGCCTCGTAATGGAAGAGGCTTTTAAAATTCAGATAAGAACATGTTATACTCTGTAAAAAGGTCGACTACATGATCTGCATTAAACAGACAAGAATCTGGGCGAGACTTGAGTTTATTAGCTCTGGATGAAACAATGAGCTCATTTTCTTCTGGGTTTAGAGGGAAATACAACTTGCTACGTGCTTGTGTTACTTCCTCTATATATATATATATATATATATATATATATATATATATATATATATGTGTGTGTGTGTGTGTGTGTTTGTTTTTTCTTTTTTTAAGTTGTGGTGAAAAGTATCGTCTGTTGTGGACAGAAATAAATTGAGTTTGACATGTCGACTTGGTTTCTGCTGTTTTCTCAGCCTGACTCTTCTTCAACACTTGGAAATGTCTGACAAAATAAAAAATCATTGGGTCCGGCGGCATGGTGGTGCAGTTGGTAGAGCTGTTGCCTCTCAGCGAGAAGGTCACTGGATCAAATCCTGGCCGGGGGCCTTTCTGGATGGAGTTTGCATGTTCTCTCCGTGCATGCGTGGGTTTTCTCCGGGTACTCCGGTTTCCTCCCACAGACCAAAAACATGCATGTTAGACTGACTGGTAACTCTAAATTGTCTTTTGGTGTGAGTGAGAGAGTGTATGGTTGTCTCGTTTTGTAGTCTTGTGATGGAGTTGCGACTTGTCCCGGATGTCCCCCACCTCTTGCACATTGACTGCTGGACACCAGTGACCCCTACGACTCAAAAAAGAAGAATCAGGTAAAGATAATGGATGAATGGAT